GGGGGATTATTTGTTTCAGATTGATTGTGTGAATCCGATAAATTCATCGGCTCTCAATTTATTTCTGAAATATTAATTCAATTTAATTGAATGGATATTAGATAGTAGTTCAACATCTTAACACTCGACCGAAGAGGCGCTTTGTATTTAAAGTCTTACTATTATGTATTTTTACATTTTTATATTTTCGTACAATGCATATGTATTACTATTATTATGCTTTATGTATTATCTTAATTTGTACTTTATGTTTTTCTACTTTTTTAAATATTTTCATACAGTGTACATGTTACTATTATGTACTATTATCATTATAATTCAAACGTCATGCATGTTTTTTACATTTATATAAGTATTACTGTTATGTTTTATGTAATACCATTTACGTATTACTATTATTTTTCGTTTCATGTATATACGTATAAAATAATATATTTTATACGTATTTTATACGTATTTTATATACTTATATTGTTATATTTGTTGCATGTATATAAAATATATGAATCAAAATTTTATCAAATAACATTATTTTTGTGTATCCATAAATTGTGCGATCTATCAAATTCCAGCCATTTGACGTACACCTTGTCCTCCTGCGTAACGCTTTCGCCACGAGATACACGTCCGGATAAGTAGGGCGATGCAACTCGTGTAGAACGCTCCAGCGACAGATTTTCTACGATAGTCCTTGAGTAGATAGATTATAAGATTGGTACGCTGCACTTTAACGATCGTAAACACTTCGGTAGTCTAATTTGGCGTGTAACCCTTCTTAAAAGTCGTCTTATACTTGCTCACGCGTACCGAAACGCCTACTTTGAATTTTGCAGCACCCGCGATCTTCATCGCGCTGTACAATGTGCCCAAGAGTCTTTCGGCGATTGCAGAAGTTAAATCGACGGGTCGCATGCCGATGGTGCGATGCTTGCGCGCGTTGTAATCTGACATGAGACGCGACAGATCGTCACTTGCCGTTGAGCGTAATATCTTCCACATCATTCTTAAGCGCGCAATTGAACCTCTCGACCACTGACACTTTCCACATCGAATACATGGAATAGTGATTAACGTTGTGTTTTTTCAAGATTTTCTGTATATCAGCGTTGTAAAATTTTTTCCGCATATCCGTTTGTAAATTTTTCGGACATCTTCCACTCTTTTGAACGATCTCAGCGATAGTGTTAACCGTCTCGCTCCCATCCTTGCTTTTGAGTGATACGACCCACGCGTACGTAGGCTGCTGGAAAAGTTTCTGCAATCTAATACTTCCAGTGGCGCCAACGTTCTGCTACTATCATATTCGTAAAATTAGACGTCCTAACCTATAATTCAATTGACAGTTTGTACCCAAACCAACTAGTTTTATTTGGATAGTATTTTAAAAAAAGTTATTTTGTAAGAAAATGGAAATTTTGCGTGAAAATTTTCGGGCAATGATTTTTTACGATTACATGTAATCTATTGTAACTCCGAAACAATACATCGATCGACTTCATTTGGCTTTTGGGGATAAAGCACCATCCAATAGGACTGTTTATAATTGGTTTACCAAATTTCAGCGTGGACGTACCTTTCTTAGTGATGAATTACGTGAAGGTCGTCCATGCACGTCTGTTGCCACTAATGTTGATGCTATGAAATGATTGAGCGGGACCGGCATATAAAATACCGCGAGATTCAGGCATCCTTAGGCATTAACATGAAAACAATACATACGATTTTGCATAATCACTTGAGCGTACGGAAACTTTGCAGTCATTGGATTCCACACAATTTGACTGAAGTTCGAAAACAGGCTCGTGTTAAATGGAGCAAAGAAATGCTCAAGAAATTCAACCGAGATCGGTCAAATTTGATTTACAACATATCGTTATTGGAGACGAAACAACATCTGTGCGTATGAGCCCGAAAGTAAACAACAATCCATTGTTTGGGTATTTCAAAATGAACCGAAACCAACAAAAGTTGTTCGTTCACGCAGTGAACTGCCAAGCAAATGATTGCTTGTTTCTTCGGATATGTGACAACCGTGGCTTTAGAGGATCGAAAGACTGTAAATACTGTCCTTTTTGGTATACAACAATTTGTTTGCCACAAGTCATAAATGAATTGCGTAGAACAAACCGAAATTGTCGCATCATCCTTCATCATGACAACGCCAGCTGTCACACAGCACGTCAAACCGTTGATTTTTTATCCAGTAATGTCGAATTGACGGACTTATTGTCCGTATTCACCTGATTTATCACTTAATGACTTCTTTTTATTCCCATACATTAAAAATAAGATGCGTGGTGAGCGATTTGAGTCGCCTGAAGCAGCTGTTGAAACATTTCGTACACTGATTTCTGAGGTTACAACCTTAGAGTGGAAAAAATGCTTCGAAAATTGATTCGAGCGTATACAAAAATGTATCGATCTTAAAGACGAATACTTCGAAAAACAATAAAGCCATTTACCGAATTTTACATGTTTTTTTTTATATTGTTTGCAGAAACTTTTCCAGCAGCCTTGCTTAACACATCGATGACAATGAGTATGTAGTGGTGGCCTCCGTTGAAGCCCAAGTACGGACGCATCTCAACGATATCAGTCTGTCACAGATCGTCGTATCTCCGGACTATGACGCATCTTCGCGGACAATTTTTTCTCGTTGTAGCGTGCAATTCCTCGAGCCAATGTCCTCCTCTCTCGGAGCTAATTTTTTCTCTCTTATCATTACATTTCTTTTTCATAATTCGACATATAATACACAGACCAGCATCCAATGTATAATATATGTATTACAAAGGTAGGAAAACAAAATACATAATAAATACGTTACGTATTTTTATTAAAAAATTTTTTTGCAGCCACTAGTTATATATTTTCAATACATTTTTTAATGCGCAATTCTTAACATATTGTCCATATCGTATAGTATTAGTAACATCCAGATTTATTAAAGATTCCATGGCTTCGTAAACTGCATCCAAGGTCTCGATGTACATGCGTTCTCGCTCATCGTGCAGAAGCAAGTTCCACAGCCACGTTCGGTTCTCTCTTAATGTACACGATAGCATCATCTCTAAATACAGTTGGTGTGATCAGGCGTTTTGCCTCGCTGTACGGGACCATTCCGTCCTCTCATCGCATGGTGATAAGCACTCAACTAGGAAGCGCAAGATCTGTCGGATCTTGTCAAAAATTTTTATGGCATGGGACTCGTAAAAATGTAATGCGTGACAATGTTCCCTGTTTCAGCACCGCCACTTCCTTTACGATAAATTTCTTGTTAACGATGAATCCTTGTAAATCTATGAACGTTGGCACGGGCATGTTGTCAAGAAGACTGTGATCGATTGCATATAGTAGATTTTATATCGTGTCGGAGGACACGGATTTTATATCGTGCACTTAAGTGATTTTGCACACAATGTTGGTCAATGGATTATACCAAACTACGCGATCGTGTATGATGAGACAATAGACTGTTATATTTGCGAGCACGTTCTCCTTACGTTAAAAGTCTAACTGCACGTCCACGGTACCACTCTTGATTCGTTCTGTCGAGAGTCAATCGATAATTATGAACGAGCCATTACGTAAAAAAGTTGAAAAGGTGAGACTCGGCTCGAGATACTCATATCCGTAAGCAGAAACGCGCATACAAGTCGTACAGAATCCCACATCTGTTTTTATCAAAATCCAGATTCAAGTCATCGTACGGATAACATTCCGAATTCAGGTAAAGTTTCGCATTGGTTAATTTACTGTCTTCAAATCGACTTATATTCTCGGACATGATATTTCTTCGACCTGTTTGCATAGCGAAAATGACAGCACAGCTTCTCGAGTTGAGTAGCCATCTTGATGGTTCACGAATGCTTGATTGTGCTCTGCAAGAGCGGAAACTTGTACACATCCCACGAGCGAAAACCATGCTCAGATATCGTCCGCTCTCCAAAATGCGCAGCATCAATAGCTTATTTATCTCGCTCAATAACGTGTAGCAATCGCCTTGCATATTGAATAATTCGATCGTTGGCTCTGTCGCCGGATCTCCCGTCAGACAATTGTTGTTGTTGCGCGCTTGTATTAAAATCAATTCGTGAAGAGCGTTATAATCTTCGCAAAATCCCAGCAGTGCGTAGAGCGATACACAGAAATTAAAGTATCCGACCGCAGCAGTCTGCTCATCCCATTGATCCGCAGAATCACGCTTCTGTCGAATGACACTGTTACATAGCTTTTGAGCGTGCTAGTTATGCCCACATTTCTGTTATGATCAATCTCCACACCAATGAGTTCATATCGAATCTCATCAAATATGAACGCGATGCAATTATTTCCCAATACCACTTTAGTACCCTGGACCACTTTGTTCTTCGTCAGTTTTCCTTCGACGTATAGAAATCTTTCGTACGACGTAATATGTGACAGATCCTATATGGGTATTCTTATCTTGTCGCTATATCTTGTCGAACGTTGTGTTGGCGAACGGATTGTACATGTGAGTCTCAATCTTGATGATGCGATCGTCGAAGATCGGCTCTTTAATGTTTAGAATATCAGTCATCTCAAATGTTGCGCACCGCGGATCCCAAAAACATTAAAAATGTAACGTTCAACGCGCTGAACTTCTTCTTCCTGATGCAGCTGGATGAGTGAGTATTATCGAGCTGTGACGTCACCGGCCTTGCAAAGAATGAGTTATCTCTCTGTGTGCGCGCCATTCCGTTTCATGAGCAGTGAGCGTCAGCTCACGTTCACGTCGTCGTCGTACGTGCAATCTAACGGTGATCTCTTATCTTCGAAAATCAAGCAATTGTCTGTTCTGATCGACGATGCGTACCGTTAAATCCATAATGCTCTATGCGATGATCGACAAGTAAATGATCTGCGCCGGCCTTTCCAATATTTTATATCCTGGTGGCATGCTCGAAAATTCGTGTATCGTGTGCGTTTTTTACCGTTACTGTACGCGTCTGCGGTCACGTTACATTCTATGCGGATAACGTTTTTACGTTCTTATGTTGATCGACATATCCGATCCGTGCCATCTTCGCGGCCGCAGTATACGCTTCGATGAGAATCCCACCAGCGATCCAATGCTGTTGGGCTTGCCATAGTTTATTCTGTATACACATTTAATCTCGCATCTCATTATGTTGTAAATAGTTTGCGCGGAGCATAATCGGGTATTCTCCACTCTCATCATTATCGTCATCAGTGTCATTGTTGTTATTGTCAGAACACACTACGTCAACGGTTTCAAGTGCATCGCGGTGCGGACGTTTCCGTAAAATCGCGTGTTTCAAAAATTTATTTATGCTCGCACTTTGTACGAACTTTTGGGAATAATTTCCGCGTCGTCTTTGGCGAAATAATATTTGTTGTTCGAATCATTCACGTTCGGTATCGTGTGATAAGTCTCAAAAATCGTCCGAGCTCGTAATCGCCATCATTCAAATCTATGGCAGGAAAGTAGTTCGCCGCGAGGACGGTGCTCTTCCCGCTCAGCATAAACGTCAGCGACATGGCGGAAAAAGCGTTCGACTAATATTGATAGATACATCTGTCCGCAGAAGCTCTGATCATACGTCTGAGACGTGCGATTGTATTCTATTGTCGTAGTACTATTCTCGAAATATTGCACTAGTTCCTTGGCGGTCGAAGATTATCGAAACTGTCAAAGTACACGACGCGGTTGTTCCTCTTCGCGTACGCTACCCAATGAGTAACAGGCCCCATCGTCCACATTCACGATACCGCTTTCATTTCGGCGCGCATCGCTCGTCGATAATGTGTTACGCATGAAAACACCTCTGAAGTAAGGTATGCGTCCCGCGAGCTCGTTTAATTGCACATTGGTAGTTGCACCAGACGCTATTTTTATCTATTTGGCGTTTTTTTTTCTTTGCAGCTACATCCTTTCCGTGTTGGTACGGGCTGAGATACAGTCCGCGTCCGTATTTGTACGGAGCGAGATACAGTCCGCAACTCTGTTTCATCGCGCGGTCATGACGTTGCAGTTCATCGAGCTGGCTTTCGCCACGCTAGCTGCTCCGCCGATCAAGGAGCCGAGCGCGCCCAACATTGGCAGAAACGGTAACGCATCGCCTTGTTTCATTGTTGAAAATATCCGCTTTTTCGTCGTCTACGAGACGTATTTCCTCGTCGTCTTCTTCTTCGGTTTCTTGCCCGATCTTAGTCTTGTCTTTCATTTGCCCAGACGGCAACAGCAGCGGCTCTCTCGCTCAGAATCGGATCACTTGCGGTAATGCGTTTCCGCGCCTTCTCGGCTAGTACCTTATCTGCGGCGTGTCTATCGGTGAAATCGTTGCTGTGCGAATACGCAATGTCGTGTTCTCGGCACAGTGCGTCTAGCGGATTTATGCCTGCGTCACCTCTAATCGCTTAGTCAGTCAAGCACTTCAGCAAAATTGGTAGCCCAGAATATATAACTTGAAAGGAAGCGCGTTTATCGCTCGATTCAACAGACTGCCGCCCAACGCTGACATTCGCTACAATCTTTTTTTTTTAGATGCGAGACCGTCGATGTGCGTCCGCTGATTGTAGTGCTCGAAGCGACGATAGGTTCGAACTTCCGAATCTGCCTTCACGTGTTCTGGAAGCTTGTCCCAAACGTGTTCGATGCCGTAAAAGTACGACCTTCGGTATACATTGCAACTGCTCGGCACTCAAATGTCGAATATCGGAAGGATGACATAGCTCGAGATACATTTTGCTACTGCATGATTCGCAGGTTCGCGTTTTTAAATAGTCGTTCGAGAACGCACAACACGTAGTGTGAGCATGAAATTCATGCTGCAACCGCTGACGATACGTGTCACGACTTGCGACGCAAAATCGCTAATAATGGGAGGCAGCGCGGAAAAGCGCAAATACGGTGAAAAGCTGCCGAGTACTATGTGTATACGCGCAATCATTTGCGGCCCGTCGAATTACGGCAAAACCAACGTTCTCATAAACTTACTCGAGAGCCCGAATGGTGTACGTTTCGAGAACGTGTATGTCTATTTGAAATCGTTGAAACAGCCAAAGTATCGATATCTCAAAAATTTGTTTACGTCTATCGACGAAATCGACTACTTTACGTTCTCCAACAACAACGACATCGTTCCGAGTGAGACACGTCCAAATTCTATTTTTATCTTTGATGACGTGGCATGCGACAAGCAGGATGTGGTGAGAGAATGCATTTCAATGAGTCGTCATGCGAATGTCGACTGCTTCTAGCTCTGTCAGACGTACGCGAAGATACCTAAACATCTGATACGCAAACCTTCTGATCCTATTTAAACAGGTATTAATTTGAAACACGTTTACAACAATCATGTGAAAACTGACATGTCGTACGACGAATTTTGCGCGTTGTGCCGCGATTTGGCTACAAAAATATGGATTCGTAGTGATAGACAAAGGAAGTGTGCTCACAAATGAACGATACAGAAAAGGATTTAACGAGTCAGTGATGCCGTAACGTGACCAGTCGTTGTTAATATTTAGTTAGAGACAAACATGGCAGATGTGCGCGAGCGTGAAAAAATTGCGAGAGAGATCGAGAAAACGAGCAAGTCGATCCACAAGAAACATCGCGCTCTAAAAAATCGAGGTGGGCATTGTGTTGGACAGATATTTTAAATCTCTTATCGAGCCGTTGCGACTTTTCGTCGACAGCCCCGGCGTGCGCGTGACAAAGAGAGAGTCGCGCGATGAAGATGCAGCGTCTTTTCCTAAACATGAGAAGAAGGAGGAAAAGGAACAAGAGGAGGGAGAAAAAGCGAGCATTCCATGACTTTGCACAAATCCAATGATCAATTGCACGATCGTGAACAGCCGATAACTTCTATCCCGCGTACCAAAGTCGTATCGACGATAGAGTCGTTGGAAAACGTTTTCGAAACGACAGAAGATTCACTAGCGACAAAGATTCAAAATCAACTGCAAAGGTTGAAAATCAGCTCGAAAGGTTGACAGGCGTTATTAGTCGGTTTGGGCTTGTTGGATTAAAAGTATTCGAGGAAAGCGCAAGATAAAGAGAATGCTATAGATCACGTGTACAATGTTTACTTACACAAGAATGGATTGATGTTTGGCAATAAACTTTTCAACGTGGATGACGCGAACAATATAATTATCGCCGGTGTACAATACGCCGGTACATCCGGTTTTTACGAGTTGATTTTCAAGAGAACTCCCGACAATGTCCTCTACATGGAAAACGATATGCACAAGTACAAAAGCATGCTGTTGGTGACGAATTCGCACAAACACAGTACCATTTGCAGGGTTGATTATTTAGCAACAGATAATACAAGTATAAACACGTAATCGCGCCGTTGATGTAGATCGCACCCAAAAAACAGAAGAAAAAAAATCTGGAAAAGGATTACCACACGCAATGACATTGAACGACAACACAATCGATTACGTGCACTGGGATGATCCCAACGAGCTAGTGGATTGTCTACGATTGCTTGACGCTTCGCATCGAACAGGCAACAACACTCACAACAACGAGATGCTGTCAATAAAAAAACTTAGCAAAGCCAGTCTTATTATAAATCGCGTATCCATGGAACGAGTCAATCGAGTGACACCAGCGAAAAAAAATACATTATTCTCTTATAGTCTGTGTATTACATGTCGAATCATGAAAAAGAAATGTAATAAAAAGAAAGAAAAAATTAGCTCCGAGAGACATTGGCTCGTCGAGGAATTGCACGCTGCAACGAGAAAAAATTTTCCGCGAAGGCGCGTCATAGTCCGGAGATACGACGATCTGTGATAGGCTGATATCGTTGAGATGCGTCCGTACTCGAGTTTCAACAGAGGCCACCACTACATACTCATCGTCATCGATGTGTTGAGCAAGTACGTAGGCTGCTGGAAAAGTTTCTGCAAACAATATAAAAAAAAACATGTAAAATTCGGTAAATGGCTTTATTGTTTTTCGAAGTATTCGTCTTTAAGATCGATACATTTTTGTATACGCTCGAATCAATTTTCGAAGCATTTTTTCCACTCTAATATTGTAACCTCAGAAATCAGTGTACGAAATGTTTCAACAGCTGCTTCAGGCGACTCAAATCGCTCACCACGCATCTTATTTTTAATGTATGGGAATAAAAAGAAGAAGTCATTAGTCACCTGATAAATCAGGTGAATACGGACAATAAGTCCGTCAATTCGACATTACTGGATAAAAAATCAACGGTTTGACGTGCTGTGTGACAGCTGGCGTTGTCATGATGAAGGATGATGCGACAATTTCGGTTTGTTCTACGCAATTCATTTATGGCTTCTGGCAAACAAATTCTTGTATACAATCAATATTTACAGTCTTTCGATCCTCTAAAGCCGCGGTTGTCACATGTCCGGTATAACCGAAGAAACAAGCAATCGTTTGCTTGGCGGCACTGCGTGAACGAACAACTTTTGTTGGTTTCGGTTCATTTTAAAATACCCAAACAGTGGATTGTTATTTACTTTCGGGCTCATACGCATAGATCCATGTTTCATCTCCAATAACGATGTTGTAAACCAAATTTGACCGACCTCGGTTGAATTTCTTGAGCATTTCTTTGCTCCATTTAACACGAGCCTGTTTTCGAGCTTCGGTCAAATTGTGTGGGATCCAACGACTGCAAAGTTTCCGTACGCTCAAGTGATCATGCAAAATCGTATGTATTGCTTTCATGTCAATGCCTAAGGATGCCTTAGACTCGCGGTAACTAGTTGGCTTGGGTACAAACTGTCAATTGAATTATAGGTTAAAAACGTCTAATTTTACGAATATTAGTAGCAGAACGTTGACGCCACTGGAAGTATTAGATTGCCGAAACTTTTCCAGCAGCCTACGTACTCGTATGATTAAACGTATTGGTATAAACGTATGTATGAACGTGTGTGTACGTATTAACGTACGTATAAATGTACGTACGAACGTACGTATTAACGTATGTATAAGCTTGTGACAAAGAAAATACGTAGAAAAACGTGATAAACGTGTCGCGATACGTTCAAAATTCTTGGAAAAAGAGGAGTGGGAGGGCTTGCCTGCCCTCTTTGATTCCAGAAGTATTATCATATACGTCACAATTTATGCGGATGCAATCAATCTTGTATAACCCCGCTTGTATAAACGGTTGAAAAAATGTGCTTTGCCAAAAAAAGCAGCGCATCTAAAGACGTGAAGAAGGAATATAATATGTAAGTTCCAACGTTATATATACACAGTAGAAACGTTTTTTTAACATTATGTATGTACACAGTACGGAGCATCGTCTGGTGCGTTTACTAAGCAGGCGTTACAATCTGACAGTTACGGGCTACAAATTTTTGGAAATTGGAATCAACGTTGATCCGAGTTACGTGGAGATCGCCCTGGGAGATCATCGCGAATATGAACTGTTGCTGTCTTTCAAAACGTGAAAGAGCCTCTACGAGCGATGGAATATTTACAAGATGCTTTGAAACGAATATAAGGACAATTTTATAAGTGTTGGACCGCTAACCGTCAGAGTTTGCATGCTGAACTACCCTCGTACGTCTCGATTCTTCGTCCGTGCGCATTACGATGACTGAAACGACGCTACGCGTCTATTTGACTTTAACAAGAATATGCGATTCTCCAATATCATTCTGAGAACGCTATACGGGATAATGTCATCTTCAATGGACATCAGCTCGTCGATTGCGAGCTATTAGCTTTAGTTTTTAATACG